TTGTGGACAGAGGTCCACATTCAGTGGTTCCAACAGATGTACGTGTAACAAGGTACATGTATTCCTGCAAAAAGAGATGGAACTGGGTGCCGGCCGAAGGGGGGAAAATGTTTTAAAAATAACTACATGTACACAACAAAACAAGATCAAAAACAGTGGGAGTATTTTCCTCTCATTTTGAAGTTTATCGACACTTAATCTCTGGCATGTCTTCTATAAATATTGTGTGAAATGAACATGTTTTTTAAGAAAAAACAATGACTGAAAACGTTGTTTTTAAGCATATGAAAAAGCTCATAACTATAGAGGCCTTTACTGTTTACTTTTGCTGTATTGTCCCTGAAATATCTGAGTGAATTGTCACACAGAGTTTTGTAATGAGAATTTTATTGTGTTCCCTAGGGCATTTACGAAACGGATGGCTTCGGCTTAATCTTTGGCTTCACTGGTTCCAGTTGGCATGGTCGGAGTCTCCTCAAATGGCTTGAGCCAGTGAAGACTAAGCCTGAGCCACTCATTTCGTAAACGTCCCTAGTAACAGTCAACCCTTCGCTTCGAAGTCCTCATTTATCTCTCATTTTCCATGTTAAAGGTGCTGGTAAAAATTACCACAATATCCAGTCGTTATATGAGCACCACACACCTGTGATAAATGGAGAGTGTGGGGATGACAACATAATGGCAGTGTGCCTGTTCAAAATGGGTTTACACTTGACGGAGACTGGAGTGTATATTCTGTGTGCTGTCTTGCAAGCAAAATGTGTTGCCTGGGGGAAGATGATTGCTCGCGGAAAAAAATACTCCTCATTTTTTACTCGCGAAGGACATATTCAAGTGTACCGTAACAGTTGTGAATTCTTTGAATGAAACCAATTTGACGGAAATCTGTCAGTCGCCACCAACAATCACAAGCCAGGGTCAGCGTCACCTGCAGCCCCAGAGCGACACCAACAGTAACAGCAGTGGCAATCTACAACAGAAGCTTCATTAACAACAGCAGCAGCAGCAACTGCGGCATTAACATCATTAACATTTCATTGTCTCAACAGCGAAAGAAACTTACGGTTGCTTGACATCAGTGACTGCGGAACAGTTGTCAAAGTGGGAGGATGAGCAGTTGTGAGACCGTCATCAGGCATCAGCCATTAATAGACCAATCCATTAAGCCCCAACTCATGGCAGGACCTGCCCAAAGAGGGGTGACCTCCCCAGTCAAAAAAGTGTGTGGGGGGAGGGGGCCACTGCTCCCTTGGCCCTCCCCCCTTCTGCTACCAATCCTTGACATGGAAACTTGCTCTTAATTGAATGGCTGTTCCCTGAGGAATTACAACGTTAGGCCTGTGTAATAGACCCGTGTGTATGTTTACATTGTTAACATAGAGGCTGCGTTGTTATCCCTTTACAGGGGCTGGCAAGACGTACACGATGCTGGGTACCGACAATGAGCCCGGTATCATGGCCCGTGCCCTCAATGACCTGTTTGATGCAATGGATGCTAGAAGCGAAGACTCTGTCTACAAAGTCACCATGTCTTACCTGGAGGTATGCATTCCTCTAATGTGAACAGGACAGGAGGTTTTTTCTTACTTAATGAATACATTTTTCTTGGTGTTTGTTATTTAGACCCATTTGAGACATTTAGTCAGTCTGATCCTCGGAGTCTTTCAGTGGTCAAACTTGGTTGCATTTTGCAGGCCGCATTGGAGGACCCTCAATATCTGGAGGGGGCACTCAGTGGGTTTGGCCACAGCCAAAACACTGACCAAGGTGGACTATCACCAGATTTTTTCCTTCTGTATTTATGGGGGAGGGGGGCATACCAGAGAGGGGGGCACGGACCTGGAGGATCGTCCCCCCATGCCCCTTGGTTACACTACTGTAGCCCTTTTCAAAATTGTTCAAACACCTTGTAGCGTATTAATGAGACTATTCCACTGTCTCTCAATAAACGCTAAATGTTCAATTTTAAAATATTCAAGTATATGTACATTTTCAATTGAACTCCAAGAATGTCTCAAGTTTGGCATGTGCCAGCTTTCCAAGCAGTGCAAAGTGCATTCCTTTCAAGGACAGTCCTTGTAAACTTTGGGTTGAGTTTGTGCCCAACTAAAGAGTACATACACCTCTTCGATGGTCAAAGAAGGCAGTGTGATAGATTCTTGGATACATTCCCATGACTACCCTCATTTGAAGCAAAATATGGGACGGAGAGAATCCCCCCCCCCCGCGCCTTTGTGTTGGTCATTG